CCACCTGGGAAGCCCCTCTAGAGCTTACTCATCTTACTTAACTGAAACTTTATGCCAGTTGGTTAATAACTCTCCACCTGTCACTATCATTCCAGGCTTTGAGTTTATGAACCTGTTTTGGATATCTCATATAAGTGGAAACATGCAGCGCATGTTTTCTGTGTCTGGGCTTATGTCACTTTGCATAATGTCCTCAAGGTGCATCCACATTGCTGCTTATTACACAGTTTTCTTCTTTTTTAAGTCAGCCCTTAGACATCCCGTGGAAGAAGCCAACAGCAGGACCCCCATTTAGTTCCATGTTTGGGGAGGTTAGCCTGGCATCCTGCCATGCCTTGTGCAGGAAAAGGAGTATGAGGTTTGGGCTGTTGAAACTTGATTCTTGCAGCAATGCTCCACGTCATTCGCGAGGACGGGGGCACCTGGAGAGACTGAGTGACTCGCCCCAGGTCTCACTGATCATGAGCCGTGGGGCAGGTCCCGCGTTTTGGCCCCATCTGGCTCCACAGCCTTTAGGTCTGTGGTGACTCTGCTTCTGATTTTCCTCCAATCACAGAAGACGTGGGGTCACGGACATCTAACCCATGGAGACTCAAGTCAGGGTGACTGAATACCCAGGGCTTCAGATGATGTGCTCATCCTCACCTGTAAGTGCTCACACAACTTCCGTGCTCTGCCCTGTGCTGGCCACCAGCCCATGTGGACGCTGAGCCCTTGAAATGTGGCTCATCCAGATTGAGATGTGCCTTGTGAATCTTAAAGGCTTAGTGTCAAAGAAGGAAAACTACCTCCTTCATGATTTCTGGATGGAGTATATGCCAAAATGATATTTTAGATAAACTGAGTGCAATAATTATATCTAAAAACTATACTTTGTATTTATAACAATATGAAATATTACAATTAACTTCACTTGGTTCTTCTTACTTTTTAAAATTGTGGCTACTTGAAAATTTAGAATACCCAAGTGGTTCACATTACATTTCTTTTTTAAATTTTTACAACTTTTCCTTTTGTACCGGGGTATAGCCAACTAACAATGTTGTGAATGGTGAAGGGACCTAACCATATATCCACATTACATTTTTATTGGATTCCTCAAGATTCACCCACAGGCCTGAATGCCTTTACTCTATCTTTAGCTCCTACTTCTTCATTTGATATCACTGCTACTGGTGGTTACTGAGTTCATCATCTGCTTTGGACCTTGAAATTTAAGAGGAAGTCCACAGCATGGGGTTACTTTATACTCAGGTACACATGGCTGGGGCTTCCCAGGTGGCTCAGTAGTCAAGAATCCAGCTGCCAATGCAGGAGACACAGGAGACACGGGTTCAATCCCTGGGTTGGGAAGATCCCCTGGAGGAGGGCATGGCAACCCACTCCAGTGTTCTTGCCTGGAGAATCCCATGGACAGAGGAGCCTGGCGGGCCACAGTCCATGGGATTGCAAAAAGTTGGACACAACTGAACATGCATACACACATACACACACACAGATATGCACACACACAGTTATAACCAGGTTTTCATAGGGGTCTTGGCAGTTTAATGTCAATGAAGAAGTCTCCTGGGATTATTCACTCAACAGATATGTATGTAACATCTTCTTATTGATGAACTATTATGCCGGGTTCTGGAACTATGTTGAGAACAAGAAAAAATAGTCTCTGGGCTCAGGGAGCTTATAGTGGTAGGGCAATGGACATTATGATGGTTAATGTTATGTGTCAAAAGACCTGGTCCGTGGGCTGCCCAGATATTTAGTCTAACATTATTCTGGGTGTTTGGGAATGTGATTAACATTTGAATCTGTAGACTGAGTAAAGCAGATTGCCACCCCCAGTGTGGGTGGGCCTCATCCAATCATTGGAAGGTCTGAATAGAACAAAAGGGCTGAGGGAGAAGAAATTTCAGCAGCGACCCCTTGAGATGGATAGCAGTCTGTTTCTATCTTTGGACTTGTACTGGAATTTACACCTTTTGCTCTCTTAGGTCTTCAGCTTGTGCTGGCTGCAAATCTTGAGACTTTTTTCAGCTTCCATAGTCATCTGTGCCAACTCTCTGTAATAAATCTCTTTATCTCTCTCTGGAGAATCCCGACGAATCCAGACACTAAACAATGTACATACTGGATAATTATATAACTGCTTAGGGATGTGGCATGTGGTGATCTGATATGGAAATATCTAGGGTCAGAATCTATTCCACCATCTTCAGGGTTACCCTAGGCTCTGGCCTTGCCCCAGAGCATCCTGGTCCTCTGGGTCATCTCCCCCAGTCTGGCCACCTCCTTGTGTCCACAGCACAGGACATGACCAGCCACGTCTCTACCTTGTCTGAGTGGATAGGTACTTCCTGTGTCTTTACCACTCTCTACCCCAGGCAGGGGAGGTCTGCTCTGTTTTTCTGTTCCCCTCATTTCCTTTTTATTATTTAAATTTCTTTTGATAAGATGAATGAGCAAAAATGAACACCTTGAACACTTTTGCCACTTGGCATCATGTATGTTTTATGAAGTTTTGATGGTGAAACAAAAAATGTCATCCTTCTTTATATAACTCAGTATCATGTTTGCAGTTTTAGAAATGTCTAGCATTCCTGGTGGAGAGCCTGGGAGAGGGTCGGGGGCGGGTATCACACTGTGGATGTAAGCGTGTGGGGTTTGGATGCGGTGTGGTCAGATTGGCGTGGGCGTCAGTCCTGGCTGTCCACTGTCTGTGTGACCCGGGGCAAGTCACGCAGAGCTGCCAGACCCCAGCTTTCTGGTCTGTATGATGGGGCTCATACTGTGTGCCAGGTGGGTTCCCAGGAGGATTCCTGATAAAGTACTAGCACCAGCCTAGCATACAACCGATGTCCAGTTAGTGGTTTCTGTTGCCATGGTGAACACTTTTCATGGGGAGGTTCTTACGCTCTCTTGTTCCTTTGTCCCAGTGAATCAGGTTGACAGAGGGTCAGAGCCTGAGCACTGAGGTTAGGACTGTTCTGCGCACTGCCCTAAAGAATGCTGTGCTGTTGTGCGCATGGACCCTGTGGGCTGGGGGTTTGGACAACACGTGCAGGAGTATCTTCTCTGCTCCACCATGTCTGAGTGGGAAGACCTGGATGGCTGGGATCCAGGATGGCTGGGGCCTGGAATCATCCACAGGCTTCTTCACACACATCTGGCTGGGGGTGAGGGGGGTTCTCTGATGGCTAACGACACTGATGACCTTTTCATATGATTATTGGCCATTTTTATATTTTCTTTGGAGAAATGTCTAGTCAAATTCGTTGCCCATTTTAACATTGGGTGATCTTCTAAATTATTGACGTATATGAGTTCTTTATATATTCTAGATACAATTTCCTTATCAGATATTTGATTTGCAAATACTTTATCCCATTTTATAAGGCATCTTTTCACTTTCCTGACAGTGTCCTTTGAAGTACCAGTTTCAAATTTTAAGTCCAATTTATCTATTTTTATCCTGGTCAAAAATCAGTTGACCATAATGTTAAGGTTTATTTCGGACTCCAGTTTTATTCCATTAATCTATACGTCAATCCTTTTGTCCATAATAAACTTATGCCATGATTACTGTAGCTTGCAAATGAGTTTTGAAGTCAGGAAATGTGAGCCCTTCAACTCTGATCTTTTTCAGTATGTGATGTTTTGGCATCAAAAACATATTCTATCGACAAAGCCAAAACTCTAGGTAAAACAGTGAAATAGACAATTTTGGGCAACCTGCCTCCCTTTCTATACCCCTTTTCATTTTTATTCCCTGCGAGCATTTAGACTCTACATGGTTTCCATCCAAGTCTTTATCAAAAGCTGCTCCCTGGGGATGAATATAATAAACTTTTTCTTACTTAGGTAAAATGACTAAAGAAGCTTAAAGTCATTACCATTCTCAGGAGAATCTGCTTTTTAAAAAAGGGAAAAAAAATGTCTTAAACCTGAGGAATTACCATCTAATGGTAACATTTTCTCTGTAAGCAGGCATAGAAAGTGCTTTTTTAAGTCAGGGAAATTGTCATACTGCATTCAAAAAGATGTTATGGATGGGCCCTTATCCTGACTATACCCATGGCCAACTTTGTTCAAAGTTCATTGAGTCTTTCTTCCCCCACTGTGAGCGTTACACCCAACGCTTACTTGCTTCATGACCTTGGGCAAATTAACCCTTATGAAGCTCAGTTTTCTCTTATGCAGTATGGAGAAAACCATTCTCACTGCAAAAAATGCCAGGCATTTGTTCTGTTTAGCTATGAAAAATAAGACTGACACACATTTGGACTTAACAAGCACAACTCCAAAATCCAAATGACCTCATCCCGATCTCTCCAGGAACAAAGACAAGCTTTCTATTTAAGCAATTTAATTTTTCCTTTCGAAATCCCTAGGGATGGTATCTGAGAACCATTTAGGAAAGTCGGGTTTTATTGAAAACAATATCTGGGAAAGTGGAATAGATACTCAATCTCTCTCCTCCTTCCTAGCAACTGCTGAATGTGGGACACGTTGCTCAGTCATCTTTGATTTGGAACAAGAATTTTTGTTTTTTGCACCTAGCAAGGACGTGTTTTATACTTTCCACGCTCTTCCCAAGGATCAGCATATCTGATCCTCCAGGTATTCCTGCGAGGCCAACGTTACTGCCATGTTACAGATGAAGCAATTGAGCCCAGAGCACTAACAGACTTAATCCCCTAGCCCTCCTTCCGTGCACTTCACAGATTTGTAAGGCTGAGTGAAAATGATCTTGGCCCTTAAGACTGTCACCTACGCCTTTCCAGACCCAGAGACCCATCTGTCTTTTGTTTCATACACTTTTTGGAGATTTTCTCTCATTTGGCCAATAGGAGCGCTTCTGTTCCTAGAAGCCTCTTTGTTGATGTTTAAAGATGTGAAATCCAAAACCTATGACCCTCAAACACAAAACACCTGCATATCTTCCCGAGTTGCTTTGCGAGCGGGTGAGTTTTAGTGTTGCTGAGCCTGAAAACCTCTCCCTAAGAACAGATCCCGGTGTGACTGTAGAGGTGGCCGCGGCTCCCTTGGCACTGAGCGGCGGGCACCTCGCCCCCGCCCCCCGCCCCGGCCCTTCCTGCCCTCCGGCGCCGGGCTGGCCAAGCGTTCCCAGACTTGCCCGGCAGATGGCAGCATGATGCAGCCGATGGCCCGTCTCCCTGCACCGGCCCCGCTTTCCCCGTCCCCGTCTTCCGGGTGCTTGGCCGCGAGGCACAGGTAACAGCTCCTCCAGACTCCCGGATGCCCTCCGTGCCGCACCGTCTACAGATGGTCGGTTCCTGGCGGGCCACAACGGATCTGAATCCACAGCATGGGTTTTACTCAGGCGCGGCTGTTTTTGTGGCTTCAGGCACAACTGTTGCTTTGGCTGGCTAATTGGCCCAGATCGTTACCCCTCCCTCCGCGCCCTAACACACACAAAGAAGCGCAGGAAAGGCGGATGAACGTGCCCTATCGAAGTGTTTTCCTCCCCCACTGCTTTTGTGCCGTGAACTTTATCCTCGGGACCCCGCTGTCTCCAGCCGCTCGGGTCCCGTTTCTCTCGGCCGCAGGGACTCCGCGTGCCCTACGATTCCGACTACCGCCGCTAGAGGGCACCGACGTCACGTGCTGCGCTGGAGCCTGGCCGGGACAGAGGCCGGCTGTCCCGCGCCGCCCGCGTCCTCGGCTTGACCTTGGGACCTGCAGCCGCCAGTGGCCGCTGCCATTTCCTCTTCCCGGCTCTGTGGGCTCCTTTAGGGGTGCTCGGGGTTCCTCACCCTCAGAAATCTCTTCCACGCACCCTCCCCCGCCCCGCCCAACTTGCTTCTCAATCGTGCTGAATCCTATCACCTTTGAAACATCTTCAAGTAAACCTCAGGCGGAAGGGAGGGAGGGAATCTTTGGACGCTAAGCTCCTCTCTACTGTCTACCTCTGTCTCTCATGACACCTTTCCCCCCACCACTAAGCTTTGAGTTGGCCAACTTCCTCAGTCCCCCTCACCACTCTTCCACCCACTCCCCTCCACTTCTCAGAAGCTCATCCTTAATTTTTGCATCTCTCTGGAATTGGCACCTGCTCCCCGCCTCCAAGATCTACCTCACTTCCACCGCTTTGGCTGTTCCTTTCTCTATTCTCAGAAATTTGCTTTCCTTTGCCAACCCTTAAATGTCTTTGGTCCCGGAATTCTATCTTTGGCACCTTCTCAACTTCTCTGGTGGCTCAGCTGGTAAAGAATCTGCCTGCAATGTGGGAGACCTGGGTTTGATCCCTGGGTCGGGAAGATCCCCTGGAGAAGGGAAAGGCTACCCACTCCAGTATTTTGGCCTGGAGAATTCCATGGACCGTATAGTCCACGGGGTCGCAAAGAGTCAGACAAGACGGAGCAACTTTCACTTTCACTCTCCCCACCTTCCCTGAGAACCTGATTATGTGCCTGGAGCAAACCCCACCACCACCTTCTCAACAACCACGAGCATTTGTTGATCACTAATCCTGATGACAGTCACGTTTTTGTCTCTCGCTCACATTCCCCTTCTGAGCTATGGACCCATTTCTTCATTTTGCCAGGTCAACAGGGGCTGCTTGGAAAATAGCAAGTAGTCTTTGGGCTGTTACACTGAGGGTGGTGGGCAGCCTTTGTATCTTGTTTAGCAGTGTTTTGAGCTGACAACGCTTCACCCAAAGAGCTGGGTTTCTCTTTCAAGGCTTGTCCAAGATTGGAAAATGTCCTTACCCAGTGCTTAACTGGATGCAGTGACTGAATCTAATCACTCCTTCTTGCTCTGCCCCATGCTTCGCCCCTGTGATGTGGGAAGCACATCCGGCCACGTGATCCTAGTCTCCATCCCATCCCTGGATGACTGAAGCTGGGCAGGATGCCTGACCCGAAGCTGCAGAACTGGGGTGGCAGTGGGATGATCCGAGTCTTCTCTTGTGATTTTGGGACTGGAATACTGAAAAGGTTGGTCTAGTCAGAAGATGGAGAGCTGAGCTGAAAAGTCACCTAAATTGGGGGGAGGGGTATGTGAAAGATGAGTAAACAGAGGCAGCCAGCTGAATCAAGGGAGGAAGAAAGAGGGGAATGTCCCAGAATGTCTTCATTTCCAGTTTCTCAAGAAACCCAGCAGTTCTCTCTGCCCTTAGATCCTGAAGGTTTTCCTGTATCCTTTCAGTGGCCTCTTCACTTTGAGCCAGTCCAGAATGACAGCTGTTTCATGAGGTGGAGGGTGGTAAAACCAAGAAAGAAAAGATAGGCTGCACAGAGGACCAGCAGCGCTGAGCGGGCGTCCCGGGGAATGACGGAAGCCGAGAGGTCAGTGGCTGCTGGTGGCCAACGAGGAGGAAGCAGAGACTCAAGCCCCGCCCCCCACCGGAAGTTACCGCCTCTGTGATGGAGACTTTCTGCGTCTCACATGTCACCGGATCTTAGCTTGGTCAGCTATGGCTCCAAAGTAATGTGTTCCAAAGTGTTACAAGACTTGCAGAATGGAATGATACTCAAAGACGAAGTGATATGAAGCGTTTATTAAATACTTGTTTTATGTCAGGAACTGAGGTAGTTTCTGGGGAAACAGAGGTGATTCAGACATGGTCCTTAACCTCAAGGTGCTCAGATTCCTTCAGAGATCACAAATACACCTAAATATAACAGAGTGAACAGTCTAAAGTAGAATTATGTACAAAATGCTACAGGAGTATAAGCAGGGCATGGGGCACTAAGATCCGGCATGCCACATGGCGTGGCCCCTCTGAAAAAGTGGTAGAATTCAATAAATGTGAAGTACATTTAGGGTAACATTTTCAGTTGATTTCAAAAATTTATGTTCAGGGATGTTTATGGTCAAGGATATTTATGTCTCCATATTTGTAAAAATATTAAGTGAAAAAATAGGGAAAATGAAATATCCAACTATTGGAAAATGATCAAATATCCTGTGTATTCAAAACTGGGTGCAAATCCCCACTTCTCCATTTACTAGCCTTTCTTAACAAGTTTCATTGTCTCTGTGTGCCTCTGTCTAGAATGTGTGTGTGTGTGTGTGTGTGTGTGTGAGTCGCTCAGTCATGTCTGACTCTTTGTGACCCCCTGGATTGTAGCTTGCCAGCCTCCTCTGTCCATAAAATTCTCCAGGCAAGAATACTAGAGTGGGTTGCCATTCCCTTCTACGGGGATCTTCCCAACCCAGGAATCGAATCCAGGTCTCCTGCATTGCAGGTAAATTCTTCACCATCTGAGCCACCAGGGAAGCCTTCCGTTTAGAATATAGGGTTACTAATACTACCTCATGGTGAAATATAGGCTTCCTAATACTGCCTCACATGGTAAATGCTACATAAGCACTACATTATATTATTGCCTATTAATATTACATTTTAAAATATGCTTAATGTCATCTTGAAATGCTCAGTATATAATGGTAAGTGGGGAAAAAAGTCTACATTATGCAGTTTAATCTGATTTTGTTACACATTATGTGCATTTGTGTTTGTCTGTAGTTTAGATCTTCTGCTTGGTCAGCTTGGGATATAAGATGTGGTCACACATCTCCAGGGAGCTAAGGAGGGCCCCTTCTCACTGCACATGAAAATTCCTTCCCTTTCCCAGTGACCACCATCCAGTGACCCGTTGAAGACTCCTCTGCCCCATTTGTTAAGAATCAGGGATGCTCCCATTTGCCTCGTGCAGACAACCTGGGGGAATAAGACTGGCCACGGCCTGCGCTTGCCACTCCCAGCGCCGGGTCTGGCAGAAGCAGTTGGCCACCACCTCCTCGGACCCTGCTGTTACCACCGGTCAGGGCGTGGTTCTCCTGGTTCTGGGAGGAGGGTGAGCCTTCTCACTGTTCTGTGTGCACCGTGGCCTGGGCTCCCGGCGTTTCAGTTTCCTAGTTTACCCTTGTATACATTTTCCTCAAACTTGCCCTCGGTGCCCCGGGGACCGCTGCAGTGGAGGCCTTCTGTGTGGGCCTCGGGCCGTGTGAAATCACCTCCCTCCACACCAAGAATTCACTCGTCCAGGCTCTTGCATGAGACCTGTTGAACTCATCAGAGACATTTGAAAACAAGTGAACCTCAGGAGAAGTTGTTTTGGGTCTTGATTCCTTTCCTCCTGGGAAGCTTCTGGGCTCACTCAAATTGGCTCACTGATTCCCCAGTAACATCTGGCCTTAGGAATGGGGCACGTGATGGACAGCCTTTGTTAAGGAAAGCATTGCCTGTGACTGGCATTCTTGCTTCTGGTTGGTAGGTCTCTGCCTTACATCCGCAAAACTGAAAGAAGCTGCCCGTGTGATGGTTTCCAGAACAAAAATGTGTCCCCAGATGACTTGTTAGACATGGAAGTGGCTGGCAACTTTTAACTTGCAGATTTTCTTGCTAACGAAAAATTTTTTAAAGATTCTGTCTCATCAGGGACACTGCTGCATATTCATGAAAAAGAAATTGACTGGAAAAAACTGTACCACAGTATTAGCCATGCTTACCTCTGGGATGTGGGATTCCAGTAGGCTATTTTTTTTTTTTTTAGTATATTTTGTTATGTTTTCCAGATTTTCAACAATGAATATGTATTGCTTGCACAATTAGAACCATAGATCCTGCTAACAAACTTATTAAAAAACCAGTCACATAGAGGAAGACCAGATGGGGATATCTGTGTGAGTTTTGCCCCTGTCCTGGATCCACCCCATTTATGGCAAGTGACAACCCTATTTTCTGTAGGCAGATATGCCTCTCCCCAGCTACCAGTGAGAGGCCGCTGGGACTGTTACATAAGGGTTCCATATGGTCACCAAGAGGGAGGTTTAGAATTAGTCTTTGTGTTGGGGTCTACATCTGAGTTCTAAGCCTTCCAACGAGGCTGCTGATCACAGCCACCCCCTCACAAAGTCTGCCATTGGGACGTCTGTGTGAGGTCCATAACGTTACCCTCTGGCTTGACAATTTGCTAGAAGCACTCACAGACCTCAGAAAAGCTACTTTTTGCTTTCACAGTTGTGGTTCATTATAGTGAAAGGATGCACATTAAAACTGGCAAAGGAGATATCAAGTGGAGTCCAGGAAAAGCCAGGCATGAGGTTCCAGCTGGCCCCACCCTGGAAGTGGAGTTACCTAACTCCCCCAGCAATGATGCCTGCTGGCACACATGCAGGGCTGCCAGATGGAATCTCGGTATGTAGGGTTCTGGGCTTTCCTGGTGGCTCAGGTAGTAAAGAATCCGCCTGCAATGTGGTTCGATCCCTGAGTTGGGAAGATCCCCTGGAGGAGGGCATGGCAACCCATTCCACTATTCTTGCCTAGAGAATCCCCATGGACA